TTAAAGTGTGGGAAAGAGTTTTTTTTTTTGTTCTTTATTACAATATTCATGATACATATGTTACAAATAATATAAAAAAAGAAAATTATAAAAATAAAAATAAAAAACGCGGATACTCGAAAAAGACCATAAGGACTTGTCACAGAGAAACCGCTATTAAAGAAATTAGAACGTTTCTTTTTTTTTTATTGTTTTTCGTTTTGTTGTGGTGTTTACGCCTTGCATCAATCAAATTACTGTGTCTTCCGAACAGCTTTTGTCATACGAATAATAATGTTCATAATTTTCTAAATAAATCTCTTGCGCTCACTGAACTTAATTTGTCGAAAATAATCACTGAAACTTATTAATTGCTACATATTATTGACTATATATCACTGTAAACATATTCACTATCACTGTATATAATCAATATAATCACTGAAAACATCATTTCCTATCGCTGTATATAATCAATATAATCAATTTCCAGATAGAAAAAGTACATTTCTGGACCTGGATGGTTATCGGTGTGTGTTTAGCCAAATTACCAAATTACCGTTAACTCTTCTAACGGCAAAAACGCCTAGCCGCTGCCAAAAGATGGTTCACCTCCAAACGAAGCCTACATACATATATTAGCAGATACGCATACATCCATTCTTTTTTATTTTACTTTTTTTATATTTATATTTTTAATACTTTTATCTTTTTTTTTTTTTTTCCAATTATTAATATTATTTTGTTATTACTATTATTTTTTCAATATTTCTATTCTTGTTATTTATATAATTTTGTTTAATTTCTTTTTATTAAAAAATTAATAAAAAGTAATTTAATATTATAAATTAAATTAATATTAAACATACAATATTACAATAGAAGAGTTCCAAAACTTAAAAACTAAAACATGTTAAATAAATCACAAGATTAAACATGTTAAATAATTGTTTGTTAAAATAATTATTAAATAATTAAAAACATATATACATTAAATAAATTACATATACTAATATAGATAAGAGATTTTTAAAAAATTAAAAGTAGATTAGTATATTTTCAATTGAAAAAATGAGTTAAGATTTTATTTAAAAGAATCAACATTACATTCTTTAGAAATATCTTTAGAAGTATTTAGAACTAAACTATTCCATAAAAATGGTCCGCAAAATGTAATATAAAATCTTACAAAATTAGTTTGAGAAAATGTTGAATTAAGTTATCGTTCCTTAAAATATATTTATTTTTATCTTTTTGTAAATACAAGTTACGAAGAGAAACGGGTGATAGGAGGGTCTTACATTTATACATAAAGCAAAGAATATTAAAAACATTCAACTCATATATATTGAGTGCTTTCATATCATATAATTCTAATTTCATATAATTTCATATTATATGATTCATATATTCATATCATATAATTCTAAGTCGTTTAGATCTGAGACTATGCAAGCTATGGTGTCAAAGTGGGAATTAAAACTTATTTATCAAGCTGTTGAAAAACCATCGGGAAATGGAATTGTTGAGAGAGTCATTGAAGATAAAGAGAACATCATTGGAGGTAAAAAGAACAACTGCGAGAGAAAAATGTAGTATACCCATTTCTGTCTTCTTAATCAACAACGTACTATCAAAATACGGCACATCTTTTAAATCTTTTGCCAACAATACAAACGCGTCCGAATTCCTGGAATCTATAATGTCAAATCAACACAAAATTCCCTGACTGATAAAGTGTGGGTGAAGCCCAAGCTTATGATGCCATGTACACAGCGATTGTTAAAAGGAAGTATAGTGATACTTCATAATGGTTTAACAGCTGAAGTTTAAGTTAACGGACATATATTGCCACGACATTTTTCTCATCTGCATCATCGTCGTGTAGACAAAAACGAAGATGTAACAACTGACAACGATTACAATCTGACATTGGTTAAACCTCCCGAAAAGAACTTAACCCTTTCGCGACTGAGTTACAAACAGTTGTATGACAGCGCGTAAAATTATTATTTTAAACTCTTTCAATTTTTCAATTGAAAGAGTTTAAAATAATAACTACTAGTCAGAATTTTAAAAACAAGACCTTGTTTTTTTTGTCGAAGAATTGACTTTCAGAATAATAAAAAACTATAATTTTGCTTATCTTAGTTACCTGAACAAATTATATTATGTTAAAATTAACAAAAATATATAGCTTCTTTATGTAAACTTAAACAAACAAAAAAGAAATAGATAAACATATCATTTTTGATATTAAATTATTGAAGCAAAACTCAAACAAAAAAAATATCCACCGCTATCATTGAAAAAAATATAAACGATTTCATTTATATCAATATAATATAATCTGTTCTTCGTCATTTTTTAAAATTGATTTTTGAGCGATCTATAAAAGCAATTAAGAAACGGTTTGAAGCATTAACTAAAAAAACTATTCTTAATTCAAAGATAATTTGAATTAAGAATAGTTGACTAAATAAGTGCGAATTTCATAAGCGCGAACTGGCATAAGCGCGAATAGGCATATGTGCAAACTATGCTAATTCGCACATATGCGCCAAACAAATTAGCAAACTTTGGCTTAAGTGCAAACTGGCATTAGTGCGAAGCAGTTACAAAAACTAAAATAAGTGCGAACTGGCATAACTGAGACCTTGGCGTAAGTGCGCAAAATAAATTTGCAAACATTGGCATAAGTGCAAACTGGCATAAGTGCGAATTAGCATAAATACGAAATACTAATTTTCACTTATGCCAATATTTAAAATTTTATTCGGCCACTTATGCCAATTTGCATTTATGCCAGTTCGCACTTATGCCAGTTTTTGTAACTGCTTCGCACTTATGCCAGTTCGTACTTATGCCAATTCGCATTTATGCCATTTCGCATTTATGCCAATATTTGCAAATTTATTCGGCTCACTTATGCCAATTCGCAGTTATGCCAGTTCGCACTTATGCTAATTCGCACTTATGCCAATTCGAATGTTTGCAAATTTGTTTGGCGCACTTATGCCAATTCGCACTTATGTCAGTATACATTTGTGCCAGTTTTTGCAATTGCTTCGCACTTATGCCAAATCGCGCTTATGCAGCCTCCCGCTATAGATGCTTTAAAATATTTAAAATTGTTTATGCATCGCCATGCGGGTCACTTGTCATTTAGATACAAATTTTATGAACCACTATACGGATCATCAGCCACAAAAGGGTTAAAACTATGCAACAAATTGTTAGACAGAGTTACAGCCTGTTTGGTTCACTCGCTATGGAAGAAGAGTACTTCCTAACCGAAGTATTACGATTATGTATGAGCTCTTGTTGAGCTGGGGGAGATGTTGTGATTGTGCGCCAATAACTTGTGATTGTGCGCCAATAATTTGTGATTGTGCGCCAATAATTTGAATGTGCGCCAATAATTTGTCAATATGCTTTTGTCAAAAATTAGTTTTGCTAATTATTGACAAAAGCATATTTTTATTGTTATAACGTTTTGTATATCGACCAATAATTGTTGACAAGAGTCACAAGTTGTATTTTTAAATGCTATATATAGTGAACAATTATTTTGTTAAAACGTTGAGATTGTTGATATGTAATAAAAACATTAAAAACAAAATGGGTTCTAAATGCGTTTACTCAGAAGCAAAAACTGGTCAGAAGTTCAACAGATTCGCCTTCTAGAAACAAACAAAAATCTTTTAATAACTTTGAGAAAAAAGTTATTACAGAGTTTGATTGTTAACTTGTAAACTCAATGTGTCATAACAAAAATAATTCCCCTATTCAGAGAGTGTTCCACAATAAAGCAATTTACGTTAATAATATGGGAGTAAATGTAATCAAAAAACCACATTTATTTCGATATAAATGTTTATTTAATTTTTTTTAAACTTGTCAGAAACTTATAATAATAAATGGTTGAGATACGTAATGGGATTGTCTCTAGACAAGTAAGGCAATAATAAACTACTATAGATTTTCCAAGCGATTTTTTTTAGTTTTATATTGTTAAATTAAAAATATTAAAAGCATAAATTTTATACTTTCACAAAGTTAGATTAAAAGTTCGATACAAGTATTTTTACAATACAGCTAATTTAATTTGATTTGATGCACTTTTAACCAGAATGTGTAACTAAGATTATTTTGAACTTTACTTATCTTGTTTTTAAAAATGTTTTTTTTTCCAAAACTGTTTTTCTTTCGATTGATTGAATCTTTATGTTGCCGCAAAATAAATCCAACATCGGTCAATTTTGAACTTGATGCCAGTAATAGATTTTAAAGAGAAATTGCAAAGCTTTTTGCAAATATATTTGTTTACTCAATTTAACTCGGCAACAACGATAACCAATATTTAACACCAAACAATGGATTATCTGAACTAAGTAGAAAAAAAAATCAATTTGGTGGTTTTGAGTAATAAACGAATAGAAAGTTTTAAAGTTAAAGATGTTAAAGATTTTTTTAAATATATTTTTAATCTTTACTTAAGAATAAAAAGTGGTTTTGATTTAAAATTAATTTTGCCAAGTGATTTTTAACTTAGATTTGAAAATATTTCTAGCAGCGGTTAATAATTTCAGTATCATTTTTGCATATTTAAATTTCATTTTTTCCATCGTTGAAAATTAAGTTGATTTTATAATGACTTTAAAACATTCATTTTATGAATCAAGTTCACTTAGCAAAATGACTGATGTTTCAGGACTAATAAAATTAATTATGGATTGGTTATAGCGGAATACCCAATAACCGAAATCAAATAGTTTTACAGAAAGATTTACACCTATACTAATCAGTAAACGTTCGAAAGGGTGTAAAAAGGGTTAAACGAAAAATAAAAATTCCGAAAACAGCGCGCTGTTCTTTTATTTCTCTGTTAAATATATACAAGTATGTTAAATAAACCAGCTAAATTTTTAACTCATATTTTACTATAATATTATAAAATAGTTTACACTCTTAAAAAATTAAAAATTAAAAAAAAAAAAAATAAAACCCATTTTTGTCTATTTCTGAATGAAAAAGTATATTTTCTTGTTTTGCTAAAAACTATTTACAATATAGTTAAAAAAAATAATAATTTGATATGATATAACAGTATATACATTTTGTTATCTTATACAATATATACAATTTATTTATATATACAATCTATTTTCAAAAATTATAAAAAACACACCCAAACGAGATCCTGTTATACAAACACAGTTAATCTCATCCCACACACACGCACAGCTAATATCGAGAAACATAAATAACCACACACAAAGTATTTCAAAACAGTAACAAAAGTAAAATAAAGTCCATCTGCAGCTTTTAATAAGTCAATCATAAAACAGCCAATCAAAATACATACATGATACATGAGACAACCATGAAACTGGAGATTGTTTTTATCAACTGCTTCATTAATAATTAGGAACAACTTAAATAAACATAAACTTATTCCACGAAGATACATCAACATTTCCACTTACAAACGACCATTCTAAACTATCTTGCTCAATGTTTAAATCAAATCCATAATCATCTTGCATCTCACTTTTCTGTGCATTGAAGAAAATTCCATCGTCTTCACTGTAAACCAAATCAAAATCAGTTTTTTTAGAAATTCCATCAAAGCATGTAGAGTTAGTCAAAACTTGGTCACTTAATGAGTCTTCATTGTCATGTTCATCTATATCAGGTTTTGGCAAAGCAACCATAGATTTTTGCGCAGTTATAATTCTTTCTTTATCTAAAATCCAGAAATATGGCAATGAAAATTGAGTTTCAATAATTTTTTTTTCAATAAATAAGAGTTTTACAAGTCCTAATTTATTTTTTATCAAATAAATTTAAAATATTTTTAAAGTTGTAATCTATTTAACAAAACATAACTCGATTTACAAAATCAAAAAAACAAAAAGTGTTTCACTGAATATAAAAAAAAATGCTTACTTTTTGCAATTGTTAAAAGCATATCATTACTTAAACTTGGATGCCTAAAAAAAAATCAAATACTACAAACATCCAAAAAGTAATTTCAAAAAATTTTTTACTAATAGCATCTTGAAATATATAAATAAAAAAAATAAATATTTTTATGGTTAGCTTTAAAGTAAACAAAACTTGAAACAAACCATTCAAAGGTGGCTGTGTCACAATATGTATGAAAAATATCCAAAGCTATAGAAAGCAATTTCTTTGTAAATATATTTTTAGAACTTAATGAGATAATGTGAGGAACAACACAACGCAATCTAAATTCAAAAATAATTAGCAAATAAAGAAAAAATTTTTAATGTTAAATAGTCTAATTTTTTTATTTGTCTGTTTTTATTATTTTTTTAAAAAAACCTTTAAATCATTGTTAATTTAAAATTATTTTTTATAAGTATGTGTTCTTACAATTCTTTAGCATAGCTAATAATACATTCTGTCATATAGATGTATGGTTTAACAAACCACTTTGCCATGCGATAAAAAGTAACAGCAAAATACCAACACAAATCAAAATCATGACCGAACAGTTCAAGAGCTTCTTTGAGAACTAAATGTGAAAAACATTTATTACAGCAAAAAAATATTTTTCTTTGTTATTTGTTGTTTCCTTATTTATAAAAAAAAACTATTTTTGAATTTAAGTCCCAATTTTAAAACTTTTTAAAACAGCACCAATCATAATATGCAAGGAAAAAGTAAAAAAATATGATAGCATACATTATGTTATTCTAACATGTGTAAAATGTTGATTATTAATACTAATAATCAGGATTCTGTTACTTAAGGCAAACTCACAATCAGGATCTTGTCATAAAACTTGAAGTAAACTCTATAAATCATAATATCTTGTACAAATGTTTTGCACATTTGTACAAGATATTATGAATAATTAGGTACCTTTTATGCACCTTATTATAGATTGTCAACCTCCAAAATAATTGTGTTCCATATTGCATACAACAAATGGAGCTTTATTTTTGTAAATTTCTGTCACTTAGTAATACCATTCAATCCAATGCATAACAAATAGGAAATTTAAAAATTTTAGTAAATTTTTTTTTGGAACTATTAAAATAATAAAAATACTTTAACTTCCAAATAAATTTTGTAATGCAACAAATATATAATTGCTAAATATATAGTGAAAATGAATTGTAAATAATTGTAGTAATCATCAAAAATATTTAACACAAGTTATATTTACTTAGCCAATAATAAGACTTACCATGATTTAGCTGGGCAGGTACAACAAGATTACTTAGCTCTCTTAGCGTTGCAATGCTATTTTCCATATCACTATAGGAATCTTGAGATGAGTAAGACAAACTGTCATTGTTGCAAAAAAACCCAGAGTCTTCAGAATAGCATTGTGGGAAGCTAACTATGTTTACATCAATTGTTAGCAAATCAGGATCTAGAAATAAAAATAATAATAAATATATAAAAAAATTATTAAGTTTTTGAATAGTTGGTTATATAAATATATTATACATTGAAAATATTGATAATAATTTAAATAATTAAACAGAAGGAGAATCTGACATTAGAAGGCAAAAACTATATCATTGTTTTTTTACACGTTTATATATATATATATAATATATATATATATATATATATATATATATATATATATATATATATATATATATATATATATATATATATATATATATATATATATATATACACACACACACTCTCTAAACACTTACAATGCAAATGAAGATATTTCAATGCATCTTCAAAGCCTTGTTTACAAAGTTTTGATAAAACATCTGGACTAGGAGGAAATAGAGCCCGTGACATTCTATAAATATTACCAGCTGTTATAAATACACTAGTATTACTAAAGTCAAAACTTGAAATGCATTTGACATCATCATTTGGACATATATCGCTCTCACCACTAAATGGAGAAACAGTGACAGTTATACCACTAAACTGTTGAGGTAAATTGTCTGTGAATCCACCATCAATGTAATACTAAAAAGTATATAATATATATAAAATAATATATATATATATATATATATATATATATATATATATATATATATATATATATATATATACATATATACATATATACATATGTAAATATGTACATATATATATATATATATATATATATATATATATACATATATATATATATTTATATATATATATATATATATATATATGTACATATTTACATATGTATATATATATATACATATATATATATATATATATATATGTATATATATATATATATATATATATATATATATATAAAATATGAAAATATGCCCATATATAAATAAATTCAGTTTTACATAATTATACCTCTTTCTTATATTTAGTTGGTAACACTCCAGAAAAAAAAGGAATAAATGAAGAGCATATAAGTGCCTAAGTGGAAAAAAATTTTTTTTTAAATAATCTATACTAAAATTATCTCTAATTAATGTAAAAAATAAAGATTACATCAACAAGTTCTTCATTGTTTTCATAATTTGAGACAACCACATTTTTCCAATCAGATACTCTTGTCAATGAAATAAACAACTTTTCCGATGCTAATTTATAAGCATTTTCAGGTAAATATTTTAAAAATGTTTTTCTAATTGTTGTTGTTGGGTCAAATGATGAACTAAGTGGGCCTAATGTACTACGTGCTTGTGTTGCTAAGTTCATAACAAAATAAACACTTTCTTTTAAATTCATATCACATAAAAGCATGCATGCTGCAAGTGCCCCTGCTGAAGATCCCCCATAGCATTCAACATTTTGAATAAATTTTTTTCCATGTATTTTCAAACAAGAAACAACTCCAACATGATAAATTCCTAAAAACCCTGCACCAGAAAACGTTAGATTCATATTCTTGTTTTCTTTTTACAACTTATATTATATATATTTTACCAATGCGTGGTTGATAAAGATTTGTTATTTATTTTACACCACCTGCAACTTTTAAATAAAAAGGGTAATTTTAGAAAATTTATGACAATATTAAATAGAATCAATTTATTTTCAGTTATTTTGACTTTGATAGCATTCACTGATTCACCATATAATATTAGTGACATGCATTTGTATACATGATAAGCAGAGATAAGTAAAACTGATGTCATTTACAATCATTAAACATGATAAAACAATATTTACTAAATTTAATTAAAATTTAAAAGAAAAATATTTTTAATGTAAGTATTAAATTTACTTTGTTATAAGTTCTTTTTACTTACTGTATATCAAGAAATTCTAAGAAATCATAAAATAATACAAATACTAAATCAGTGGTTTAAAATCACAATATTATATATTATACTATTAAGATTTTATATTATACAAATATTATACAAATACTAAATCAGTGATTTAAAATCACAATATTATATACTTAATAATAAATTAATTAAAAAACTAAAACATGTGATTAATATTTAAGAAAAATTGAAAATTATAAACAATTTAGTAACTGACTAATGTAAAATCAAATTTGTGTAGTTTAGACGATAATTAAGAGGTTTAAAAAATTTAATTAAATTTTAACAAAGTTCTTGTCAAACTGTTAAATAATCTAAAATCTTATTTACATTTTACAATTACATGACAAAATAGAATGTCAAGTATGACAAGTATGTAAATGGATTTTGACAGTTTAAACAAACGAATGTCTAAAAAATAACATATTTTAGTGTAACGGTTAAATAATACTGATTTTTTGATACGAAATGTGTCTGAAAGTTTAACTTAAAAATAATATTTACTAATCGTGACACACAAACACACCTTTTTTTTTTGCATCATTTTTTTTTTATACTAAAAGGCCTTTGACACACCTCCACGTTTGTTGAAATTAGATAAAAAGTGATAAGTAGAAAAATACTCGTGTATATTATGTGTTTCTAGAATAACCAATTTTTAAAGCAGTAGCATAAACGTACGCAACTTTTAAGTAAAACAAAAACACTTTTATGTATAAAATTCTTTAGCTCTTACAATTTTTTACGAATCTCATCAAATTTTAAAATAAAATTAACTCATAAATTTATTATTTAAAAAGTTAATTTATAAATAACTGGTGAATAAAACAAGAATAACAAGAACAAGCAAATTTGCAGAGCGGAACATTACGCGAAGATGCTAAAAATACAACACGGAAACGAAACTTAAACTCTCACCCACCTTTGAAGATTTTAAAAGTTACAAAAAGAAAATATGAGGGCGACATTACAAATGACCGACAGGAAAACCTGAATTGAGTTACTATAGAAACCTAATTGTATCAAAATCTTGCCTAATTGTATCAAAAACTTGCGATCTACTACTTTTTGTTTTTGGCGGGTAAAAATTTCAAACAAGTTTGATCAGCAATCATTACAATATTGACTAGTTGAATAAGCCAAATTAGACGGGATGAAGCCTTAATAAACTTTCTAAGACGTAAGTACTGTTTGTGAAACGACATATTTTTTAATCAAAAAAGTTATTAACTGGGAGCAACTTTGAATATGTTTTTAAAATTAATTTATAATTTTTCTGAAGATTTTAAAGCAATATTTGAGGCTTATATATAATCTAATTTGTTATTAATAATAATAGTAATAAAAATAACAGATCGGGTTTATAAAGCTTTTTAACTTTTATTTAAAATAAAAATTTATTATTCTTTTTTTTAAAAACACATTCAAAGTTGCAAAGGCTCTGGCGTTTCACAAAAAGTTCAAGGCTAAACATTTGGGTTAGGTGTTTGGCAAAAAAAAAGGTCAAAGCAGTGGCGGATTAGGACTTCTTGGGGCCCGGGACTATTTTTATTTTTGGATGCCTTTTTATGGGCCAGAGCCTTAAAATACTACTACTACTACTACTACTACTACTACTACTACTACTACTACTACTACTACTACTACTACTAATAATAAAGTTTGACTAAAAGATTTGCTGAAATTTTTTGTTGAAATATACATACTTTTTTTTCCAGTTAACATTTGTCGTAAAATAAATACTATATTTTACAAGAACAAACAAACAAGGCTTCTGAAAGAAGATCAAATGATCTTATCATCAGAACCTTTACGATTTTTAAAACAAAAAAGTACAATAAATCATAGTATAAAAACTGAAAATATAAATCGAAAGAACGGCCGTAATAATAAATCTATAATAATAAATTCATAATAATAATCACATATCTGTAATAATAATTCTCACAAATCTGTTATAAAAATCCATAATAATAAATTTTATAGATCTGTTATAAATTTAAGAGAATAAATCTATTAATATAAATATTACTATAAATAAAATTACAGATAATAATTATGAATATGAGCACATTACATGGAAACAGCATATTGATCACGTATGTACCAAGATTTCTAAAAATATTGGAATTTTATATAAATCTAGAGATTATCTAAATAAAAATAGTTTAACCCAACTCTATCATTCGTTCATCCATAATTATATAAATTATGCAAATATTGCTTGGGGAAGTGCTGGAAAGAATAAGTTGAAACGTCTTTTTTCATGTCAGAAACACGCAATTCGTATTATTAATTTTTCCGATCGCTTTACTCATTCGAAACCTTTATTTAACGAAATGAGAATACTTAATATTTACGAAGTGAGTTTATATAATACTCTATGTTTTGTATATATGTGGAAAAATAACTTATCTCCTGACTTTTTTAAAAATATTTTTACTTTGAAACCAGACAATAAGTATGCACTGAGAAATAATAATTTGCTAAATCAAGTTTTATGTCGAACCAAGTTTAATCAACTTTGTATTGATTATCGTGCACCTAATCTTTGGAATAAAGTTATTTTGCAAAATTTTGATCTACCTTCCTCTTTTTCTATCTTCAAAACTAAGCTTAAAAATCTAATTCTTTCTATGGAGAACGTTTTTCTATATTACTAGTGTTATGGGTTTGTCTACCTATTATTAAAACTAAGTTTACCTATTTATATAGTTACATTGAGATTGTACTGAAACTGATAGCTGTGAATAGATGTATAAATATTTATTATTTGAGTTTGTATTATATATTGCTTTATATTATATATTGCTAGTATGTATAAATTTTCAGGTTTATTTTATCTTTTATTTAGTATTTGAAAAAACAAAAAACAAAAAAATTTTATTACGGTTTTTATAACACGGTTTTGTAAAAATTAAAAAGAAAAAAAAAAAAAAAAAAAAAAAGAAAAAAGAAATTAAAAAAATAAAAATAAAATAAAATCAATAAATTATGTATAAATGCGTATGTGTATCTGTGTATGTATGTATTTATGTATGTATATTGGTACATATATTGGTGTATGGGTGTATATGTGCTGTTAGTATGGGTGTGTGTGTGCTTGCAGTCTATGTATATTAAAAAAAAAAAATAAATAAATAAATAAAGAATAGTGCTGCATAACCTCTGGCGTAGGAACACCCAACTATAACTGCTTGGCAATCGTTGGGCTGGATTGGGATTCGGTGATACCACCTATGATCGCTTGTATGATAAAGATGCAAACACAATATATACTTAAAAAAAAAAAAAAAAAACTATATTAGAACAAGAGCTAATTATCAACAAGAATTCAAGAACCCCACTCTGATTTTATTTTCTACAATTTTAATGCAAGAAATGTTCAATTCAATTATTATTTTTTTTTTAATCTATTCGATTTATATTATCACCAACACACTATGACGTCATCAAACACATCGATAATTATACTTAAGTATATTATTTTTAACTATTCTATGCAACGGTTTATATAATTATTTATCGGAACAGATCCAATTTAAAAGCCAATAAACATTTACAAAAAATCAATAAAAATGAATTCATTTAAAGCGTTTTGATTCCAGCGGTTCTCTACGACAAGACCTCAAGGACTTCTTCGAGTTTCCGCATTCTTTATTCCTAATTTTTATTGTTATATTTATTGTCATATTTCTATTGTTAACGAAAATTTAATTTAGTATTAGTTCTTTGTAATTTTATTATTAAATTTCTTGATTGATTAAGTTATTATTTATCTAATTATTCATTTATCTAGATTTAAATTTACTTATTTATAATTATTATTAATATCAAACTATACCAGTGGAATATACAATTGTCCATAACAAGCACCGGCGCCTCAACTTTTGCATTCCTATTCGCTGGTGCCATCATTGTAGTTATGAAAGTACAAAATGAATCTGCATTCCAGCCTCCAGTTTTTTATTTCATAAGCAAGCAGTCCCGTTGTTGAAACAGCACAAATTAAACTAACATTCTTACCACGATTTGCAGGTGACTGTAAAATTGATGGCGTACCTCTTAGAAAAGAACCATATATGCTGTTAGTGTGCACATTAAATCCAGTTTTATCCAAATAAATAAGTTTTTCACCTGAAGTTCCGTTTATTTCGCTTGCAAATGCATAGCGTGCATTAATAACTGGTGTTGAGTTTCGTACTTCGGCACATGCACAACACGTTTTCTTGATAAATCTGAGCGTTTGAGTTTTCTTGAAATAGTAGACTGAGACATGTTGAAGCCTGCTGCAGAATGATATTTTTTTATTGCTTCTTGCATGCAAAGATTGTTTTCTTGTACGCATAACTCTATAATATTTTTTATTTGAGAATTTATTGGTCTTTTACCTCGTTTTTTATCAGAAAACGACTTGAATGCAGTCATGTCGTCAAATTATCCTCTGTTTAACTTAACGACAAAATTTTGAACTGCGCGCTTCGATAAATTAAGAGAAGTGGAAATGCTTGTTGTAGATTGATTTCTTTCAATTAAATGCTTAAGCATTTCAATGTGCTCTTTTGTAACATTTTTCCTTGTTTTACGATTGGTATTGCTATTTTCTATTCCATCAATAGGGATGTATAGTTTGATATTAATAATAATTATAAATAATTAAATTTAAATCTAGATAAATGAATAATTAGATAAATAATAACTTAATCAATCAAGCAATTTAATAATAAAATT